AGAAAAAAACGTGTACAATTCTTGTATAATGTTAAAAAATAACCGTTACTTTGACAGCGTCATTTACAACTAAATTTAATGAATGAGAGAGATGCACGAAGTACAAAAAAGTCTAGAATCTATTTTCCTTAAATTTACGATTTATGTATCCATTTGTCATAAAAATTTGTCTTTCCACTTTTTTCCCGAGACTACAAATATTCGAGTACAAAGTAACCGGTTTCGACTTATTTCTACTTAAATTAAGAAATAGTTAAATAATTAAGAGATTAAGGAATTGGGGAAATAAATAAAATCCTGCTGAAAGAACCGGAATTTTACTTAAAAGCTTAACCGACCCAATCTCTAGACGAGTACAGTGGGAACTGATTTCTTCGTAATATTAGACTTAATATAAACAGAAATTTTTCCAGTTCAAGGAGACTGACCGAAAAGTTGTAAATTTTGGAAATTTCCGTGGACACCCGGTCCTAAAACGAATTAGATAGAAAACAAATGACTTATAAGTTTAAAGTATTTAGACTTATACAGCTATGATGAGAAACGTTTAAAATCTACAACAACCCTGTCGCGTCCTTTGAGATATACTAGTGGTGTGACAAAAGAGACATTTGACATTAACCGGTATGGGCACCTTCGGGATTTGGCAGCTTTCGTGCATGCACGCACCACACACCTAGCAGGACCGTCTCTGATTCCACTGGTAGGGAGCTATTTGACTAATTGGTTAAGATTTAAAGGGTAAAGAAGATTTTATGTTATTTTTATGTACGTTTCTTTACAAAGCTGTATTTAATTATAACTTTCTTTAAAAGTACATTCGTACAATTGAAGAATATTTTGTACCAGGTATGTATATCCACCACACATTTTATTTCACCAAGTAAGTTTTTATAATTTTGTTTTTAATTTTAGCCCTTATATCGTGGCTAACGATTCGGAATGTAATTGCGATATTGAAAATTTATTTTAAAAAATTTTTGGCTCGAGATCACATAATTGAAAAGAAAACATTATTAAAAGAGAAAGACCAAATCCTAAGTTAAATATAAACGCTTCAACAAAANTAACCGTTACTTTGACAGCGTCATTTACAACTAAATTTAATGAATGAGAGAGATGCACGAAGTACAAAAAAGTCTAGAATCTATTTTCCTTAAATTTACGATTTATGTATCCATTTGTCATAAAAATTTGTCTTTCCACTTTTTTCCCGAGACTACAAATATTCGAGTACAAAGTAACCGGTTTCGACTTATTTCTACTTAAATTAAGAAATAGTTAAATAATTAAGAGATTAAGGAATTGGGGAAATAAATAAAATCCTGCTGAAAGAACCGGAATTTTACTTAAAAGCTTAACCGACCCAATCTCTAGACGAGTACAGTGGGAACTGATTTCTTCGTAATATTAGACTTAATATAAACAGAAATTTTTCCAGTTCAAGGAGACTGACCGAAAAGTTGTAAATTTTGGAAATTTCCGTGGACACCCGGTCCTAAAACGAATTAGATAGAAAACAAATGACTTATAAGTTTAAAGTATTTAGACTTATACAGCTATGATGAGAAACGTTTAAAATCTACAACAACCCTGTCGCGTCCTTTGAGATATACTAGTGGTGTGACAAAAGAGACATTTGACATTAACCGGTATGGGCACCTTCGGGATTTGGCAGCTTTCGTGCATGCACGCACCACACACCTAGCAGGACCGTCTCTGATTCCACTGGTAGGGAGCTATTTGACTAATTGGTTAAGATTTAAAGGGTAAAGAAGATTTTATGTTATTTTTATGTACGTTTCTTTACAAAGCTGTATTTAATTATAACTTTCTTTAAAAGTACATTCGTACAATTGAAGAATATTTTGTACCAGGTATGTATATCCACCACACATTTTATTTCACCAAGTAAGTTTTTATAATTTTGTTTTTAATTTTAGCCCTTATATCGTGGCTAACGATTCGGAATGTAATTGCGATATTGAAAATTTATTTTAAAAAATTTTTGGCTCGAGATCACATAATTGAAAAGAAAACATTATTAAAAGAGAAAGACCAAATCCTAAGTTAAATATAAACGCTTCAACAAAAAAATTTGTTCGACATTTTCACGACAAAATGGCTCTGTAAATGCATAAAATAGCAAAAATTGTTTTGTGTGGGTTTGCCTGCTATTTTCAAATGAAATTACTGTGTGGAATAAGAGTGGCTTTGACGATTTAGCTGGCAAAAGATACGAAAAATCGTCGATTCTTTCGTATTTGAAACAATTTGGAAGTCAAAGCGGAATAGAATTTAACATTAGTAAATAATATAAAATAAATATTGAAAATTGTAACGAGATAGTTACGGCTAATAGATATATTTAAATTAATAGATGTTATATGTTTTTATTAAAGCAAGAATCGGTATTTAGATATTTAGAACTATTAATAACCATTTATTAATTATGTCAGATAAATAATTTATTAAAAATTCACTTAAAGAATTAACTGATTGCCCCTAGAAGTCGGCTTCTTACGGAAACACAGTATTCCTATCATCAAACATCACAGCTTTCCTATTTTTACAGAAACACAGCTTTCCTATTTTTCACTATTCGGCCGAATACCGAATACCTAAAAACAGGAGTAATAAATAACAAAAACACACTAAATTAATCATTTTGTTATTTAGATTTAATGTTATCGAGTTAGTGTTGTTTGTTTATAATATCAATTAAATTAAAATATCCACAACCGTGAGGCAGATAATAGTGACGGATTATCAGACCTTTTCATACTTATGTAGTAACCTTTTGTGTTTATTAAATTTTTTTTCACTTTAATCTCTGAGCGTTTGTGCCCATCATTTGGTCTGATAAGCCCTCACCATTATCTGCCTCACGGTTGTAAATATTTTAATTTAATTGATATTATTATATCAAGGGCTAGAAGCAACTTTTGTAATAATTTAGTTGTTTGTTTATATTTATTTATAACTTGTAACATGCACAAAATAAAAATGAAAATAATATTAGTCACATGTATTCACAATTTATAATTACAAAGATCAGCACACGTACACGTCTATCGTTGGAGAATCCTCGCACATCTGAGGGTCTGACCCTGCCTATCCTTCTTTTTAAGCGCTCGTCTTTGCTCTTCCCTTTCTCTTTCCTCTATCGCTCTAATCCATGTATGCCTGTGCATACATCATAATACGCGCTCACGATACTTTCGATTCGTCACTTTTCCGTCGTAGAGTTCCCATTTTACAATTACGTGACTCAGCCTGGTGATAACGGAGAAAAGAGACAGATAGGACGTCGATATAAGTCACAGTTATGATTTCACAGATTCGAGACAGCTTGATAGCCCGAACGGCCCCAGGCTTTCGCCCGTGCACGCTAAGTGACTTTCATTACAAGCATTTAGCTTTCCGAAGTCTATGACAACAATTGTTTGGCATTGACGGCCGCGAATTTCGTGCCAATAAGCTGCCTCGACTTGTTCGATTATGTTATCAACTCAATTTCATATTTATTTTCACATTTTCACTTCGCGGTCCTTCTCTGTTCTTTTTCCGTTATTTACACGTGTAGGTCATTTCATTGTTATCCACATTTGATATCATCATTTATCACATACTTCCATGACACTCTTGTCTGTCCGCTACAACTGCCAAGAATTAACGCGATTGGCGAAGCGTAGTGACAGCGGGCCAATAGAGAGCAGGATTTTTTTCATAATGCGGTTTGCGCGCCAATTTTCGTACGTGCGTTAATCGAGCCGAATAGTTTGGCCGAATATTCGGTATTCGGCCTGAGGCCGAATATACGTTACAACACTAAAAATTACATTAAAAAAAGTTACCGGCGAGTACAAATTATGTTTTATCACGTTTATGAGGGTGCCAAGATTAAATATTTGGTAATTTTTTCGGGAACCATGCTTGGTTTGCAGATTACCGTTTGATATTCGCCTGTGAATAGTATAGTACGTTGAACATGACATTAGAAATAACATTAACTTATCATATTTGCAATTTCATTGGTCAACTATCTTAAACATGACATTAATAGGATAAACAACTAAACTGTTTATGTGGTTTTCGTTTTAATCTTTGTTGTCTTTAATTTTTACCCTGTCAAAGCCGTCTTATTCGCTAGTAAATTGATAAATGTGCACATGCACACCTTAATCGGCACGTTTTGCTTACTGAACTACTTATGCAACAAACAATATCATAACAAACTTAGCGAAATTTGTATTATTCCAACTTGCAGATAAGCAAACTAGTCATAATATCATTCATTAAATTCAATAGTAAGCATTTAAAACGAATTTTTGCTTGTATCAATTAAAATGCTATGAAATTTATATGTTACTTTACATATTGAAAAGATATGAATTAGAACACTGTTAATTATAAATTTAGAAGTTTTTAAATCTAGTACACGTTCGTTAGTCTGTTGCGAATTACACAGGAGAGTCTTGGTTTTGAAAACGCAAAAATATTGTAAACTTTACTAATTAATACAAAATTTCATAAAGTAGTACACACCTGTTTTCTGTAAACATTACGGTGCATTCTGTAACAACACACTCTGCTGCAAATTAATGATCTGTTTAGGCATGAAATTTACTCTCGTCTCAGTCTTAGAATTAAACATTACATAGATATACTGTATCAACATTCTATTTCCCTTCTGTAATGTATGTAGTTCTGTTATTTTCCTTCAGTAATATAAAAGCATTTTCAATTTCTGTTTAGAATGTGGTTCCGGATTTTTAGCGCAGCACGTGTCTAAATACATTCAGAATAGCAGAATATTAGCATTCCCGGTTATAACAGATATTTACGTGAATAACCTTATACTGTGTTTTCAAAACAAAAAATAATAATAATTGTTTCAACAACATTACATTGATTCATAGTTGTACAAAAGTTCTAAACTAATCTTTTCATTGAAATATTGTATTCAATTTTTAGGTTTCATTGCAATTTCATTTCAGAGAATGGAACCAGGAATTGCGGAAAAAGAATTCAAGCATACTGAAGGCTTTATTACGTTTTGTTGGTTGGAAATACTTAATAATTATTCTACTTGTACTCATTCAGGTATTAAGACAACTGATTTCAAAGACATAATGTTCTGAAATAATTGAAATAATAACTAATACTTATGTTCTTCCGCAGATGACAGTGTTAGTTGCCGGCCAAGCATACTTAGTAGGATTAATAATAAATTATTTTGAAAACAGACAGGAACGGAATCAATACAAGGTCTATGCTACAGTTGCGGGATTTTTTATTCTACTTGCGATTTATTTCTGTATATATAATATTAGTGCGTTTATAACTGAATTATATGGAATGAAGTTAAAGATAGCTTTTTGCACTCTTATATATAGAAAGGTGAGTAGCTATTATAATGTGTTATAAGTATTAGATTCATATTCTTTTTACGTTAGTGTATTTTTCTTAAATGGATCGAAGAAATTAAAGACAAATGCAAACTATTTGTAAAAGAATTTTTCAGCAATCGATAGTTCTGAAATTTTACTTTGTAAAATAGTTTGAAATATATTATAAAAAAATGAAATCGCAATTTATATACACCATATACAATAATTTATTTTGTCAAGAATAAGGTTTCGTAATCAATAAGCTTTTCTATGTGTGACTACAATAATTCTGTATTAGCAAATTACTTTTCGTCCATATATTACTAAATTTGTATACGTAAGCGCTACGTTTTGGCTCTATAAAAGACTTATTTGGCGCAGCTGGAAAACTTGTAGTAGTAATAAAAATAACTATCGTAGTAAAAGTACATTTTTACATTACATTATTATTTATTAACGTATTGGTACAATACATACTCGGTACCGCTAAACATAGCCGAGTGGGAACTACAGTATATACAAATAGCAAAAAGATACAGTAAAGTATAGGGTATTTAATTACAGTATTGTAACAACAAGTAAGGTGTGGGGAGTACAGTGAAAAGTGGGTTGTAACTAGAGGCAGTAGAATATATTACAATACGAAATAGTATATACAGATGGTTTAGTTCCTAGTGGCAAGAGGGGCAATTGCCTCATGTTTCTTTACAAGTTGATGGAAAAGCTTGAAGAGTATTTTATTATTTAGAAGGTCACTGTGTTGGCAAGGCCAATAGATGTTCATACTTTGGGCGGTCACTTTGATGGCAAGACTTTCGGTCTGAAGGGAGATACAGCTGAATAAATGGTGGTCAGAGTTGTCGGTCTAGCTGCATATGGCACATAAAGGGGTACTTTTATTGGTAAATCTGTGCAGGTAGTTTGAGAACTTTCCATGGTCTGTTAGGAACTGCGTGAGGTGATAGTCAGGAGTCACCCATTTGTATTTGTCGTGATAGTCGATGATGTTAGGAATATACTTGTAGGTGGTTTCGTTGTGTCGTTGAGACCAAGATGATTGCCAGCGACCTAAGACATCCTTGTACATAATTTTTCTCACCATGTCGTGACTGATTTTGTTGTAGATGATGGTAAGGGAGTCATCAACAGCCGCGGCCTTCGCCAGCTGATCAGCCTGCTCATTCCACTCGGTGTTCTGGTGCCCCCGGGTCCAAGTAATATGGTATCAGTTGCTGGAGTGAAGGATTAAGTGCCGGATGGATGTGGCTATTGGATGGAGTTTGGTGCCACAGATTAGTTCGATGGCAGAGGAGGAGTCGGTAATGATGTGAATGCTGTTTTCCGTGTACCTTTGCTCAATCCAGTTAATGGCCATATTTATGGCTAGAATTTCAGATTGGAAGGCAGTACAGGTGTTATGAAGTCTGTTCTGTTGTGAGTAGATTTCCATATTGTTGCAGCAGGCAACAAAAGCACAGCCTATTAAGTTGTTGTGGCCAGAGCTATCCGTATAGATGACAAGAACAGGATTGAGGGGTGGGCTGTTACCAATAAGGTTGTTGATATGGGGAGGTATGGCCTGAGTGTAAGGACTCAGATATTCATAATTACAGGCCAGGATGTTGCAAGTTAGAGTGGAGATATCATTCCCATTCTTGAGGCTCCAGATACTTCGTTCCATCCTGATGATTTCAGTGATAGGGGTTTGCGAGAGATCACTTGCAAACTGCTATTTGGAGCAGTACGATATGCTCTTGTTATTAAAAGGAGTGCTTTTCGTTAGGAGGAGATCAACTTTCTATGTAGATGTACCTTCTGAGTGGCGTCTCCCCAGCAAAGACAGCCATAGGTGATGATGGGGACGTAGATATGGTCGTATATGACACTGAGCGCCTCAGAATTGAGGCCCCAGCCTTTCCGCGCAATCTGCGAGAAGGCGTGAAAAATTAGGCTAGTGCGTTTGGCGATGTATTTGATATGAATGTCCCAGCTGAGACGAAAGTCCAGCCAGACGCCAAGGTATTTAATACATTTTTCGACCTTAATAGATTGGTTATTCATTCTCACAGTTGGGGTGCGGAGGTACAGGATAGGTTTACCTGGTTTGTTATAGACAATACTGGTGGTTTTGTTTGTATTGAATAGAAGTTTCTGGCGAGTACCCCAATGGTAGATCCTGTCAAGGATCTCGCTGCTACGCTGTTCCAAGACTGGGATCTTCCTCCAATCAAGATAAGGACGTCGTCAGCGTAGGCAGTTGTGGCGTCCTGACTGAAGTCTTCTTGTAGGAAAGCGTTAAAGGTTAAGTTCCACAGAAGCGGCCCACAGACCGACCCCTGTGGGCAGCCACGCTCTACTTCTCGTTCGACAAAATGGGTTACATACTGTAGAACAGCTTTGCGGTCATGCAGGTAATCCTTAAGGAGGTTGTAGATGTTGGCAGGGCAAGCAGCATTCCTGAGCTGGTAAAGGACGAACGGCCACCAGGCACTGTCAAACGCCTTTGATATATCAAGGCTGATGGCCAGAACGTACTTATAATTGTCCAGCAAGTTCTTGATGGAATGGACAGCATGGTTAACGGCATCATTGGTAAAGAGTTGAGGCCTGAAGCCGAACTGAGTACTGTTAAGTAAAGAATTGTGTTCAATATGCCAAGTTAGACGGTCAGTGAGGAGACGTTCTAGAACTTTGCCAAGTATAGGTAGTAAGGAGATTGGCCGGAGGTCTTTTGGCCTGCCAGGTTTTGGCACGGGCACGATTTTAGCAGTTTTCCACTTGCGGGGAAAGATACCTGAGTACAGGCAGATGTTAAGCATGTCTGTTAGTTGCTGGGGAATGAGGTTCCAGATTTTCTTTGCTAGCTTGGCGTTAATACCGTCAATGCCGGGAGCTTTGCCCTCTTTTAGTTTTTTGAAAGCGTTGTCTATTTCGTGGTAGTTGAATTCAGGGGAGTTGTCTGTATTAATAGGGATGTTCACAGTATCACGAATAGAGCTTTGCCAAGGTGTGTCATTGTCAGTGCTGTCACTAATACAGAAGTTGTCCATGTGTTGATGCAAGGTGTTCATAATGCAGTCGTTGGGGGGTTCAGTGTCTTCGTTGAAAAGTATCTGTATCCTCCGTAGCTTGTCGGTGCACATCCTGGTAAGGTAACCTCAGGGATTGGTAGATGCAGCAGTGCAAAACTGCCGCCAGGAGTTGATCTTTGCCTCTTTGATTTCCTTCTTGTACAGGGTCTGGTGATTGTGGTATTGTTGCTTGAGGTTGGTGCGAGTTGGTTTGGTTCTTCAAGTTTGATATCTTCTTCTGAGGGTGTTGTCGGTCCTACGCAGGTCGGTGAGTCATGTGTTCCACCAAGGCACAGATTTACGTCTTGGGGTAGGTTTTGGAATAAATCTGTCCCAGGCGTTTTCGATTTCGTTGATGTTGTGCTCAAGGGTGTGCCTAATATTATCTGTGCTGTGGTGACTGCAGTCAGTCATGCTGATAATGTTGGTATTAAGGTAATTTTTAATGTCATCCCAGTTAGCGATGGACAGATTATACCTGTGATTGGTCAGGGCAGTGGAGTTGGACGTGCTGTTACTGCTGGTGTTCTTCAATAGGTATGAGATGTGGGTGTGGTCACTGAGATTACTTTCGTTATGCACTCGCCAATTCTCCAGATCATCAGCACAGTCCTGGCTGCAGGCAGTGACGTCGATCCAGTTCTTTCCTTGACTGGATATGTAGGTCAGTGGAGAAAGTGGGATGTTAAGTAGCACAAGTCCATTAGATGTGATGAATTCTTCAAAGATTTCCCCCCGCTTGTCTTGTTGATTTCCACCCCACATCGGCGAGTGGGCGTTTATGTCCACGGCGAGGATGAATTTGACGTTATTGAATTTATTTAGGATGTTCTGGATCATGTTGACAGTGTTTTCCATGCTGATGTCACGTGGACAATACATATTGATAATGATGTAGGTGCTTTTGTTGTATTTGATCTCATTACAAATTAGGTACTCGTTGGATAAGTTTTTGTGGTGAAGAGTCGAAAAGGCGGGATTCGTAATAACATTTATGGCCCAGGGATATGAGTTGGTGCCCTTGAGGATTGTACAATAAGTGGGCAGACAGGATGGTTTATTCTGCAAGCAATATCGCTCCTGAATAATAATAACATCGTATTTGTGATATTTAGAAGCGAGGAGGGAGGTAGAAGCAATGCCTCTTCTCAAATTTATTTGCAAGAAACTAATACCGTTGTTGTGTTTAAGATCCATAATCGGTTTGGGAAATTATGTTGTCTTTAACACGTAGAAATGCTGGGCAGGAACAGTCCCTAGCATTGTGCTTGGTAATAATATTTTTTCCATGTTGGCAATTGATGCACCTGGGCTCAGCATTTTTGTTTGGGCATTCTCTGTAAGTATGATTGCCAGCGCACTGGCTACATGTGGCAGTGCCCATAGAATTTTGCGGAGTGCCCATACCTGCAACACCAGAAGCATTGCAGGACTGGGCAGAAATCGGCCACCCTGCACTGAGACCAGTCAAGGCTAACTTTCCTGGTTATAAGTAGATGCTTTCTCACCTGTGGAGATACCTCCACAACCCAGCTGTGAAATGGTGTCTCCTTGTGTCTGATATTGTATTTTACTTTAAACTGGTCATTGAATTTTTTTTCTGAGTAGCTTTCATTGATGATAGAATTTTGGTCATAAATATATTTTGAAAGGTCACTGCGTTTTAGTTCTGCTGGCACAGAGTATACAGCGATATGAGGGTTTCGTTTCTTGGGTCTTTTTGTCAGAAGCTCAGGTAGGTTGTACGCTATACACTTCTCAAGAATGGTGGTGTCCTCCTTGCGAGTTAGTTCCATTGCGAGACCACCCTGTCTGATTTTGCGGATTCTCTCCACACCAATTTGTAACTGAGAAGGCTTTAATTTCTTTTGTATTACGTTGCGAAGGTTTTCACTGTTTGAGTTGTCATCGCTGCCATATACCAGCAGCACATCCTTTTGACAGTGAGGAATCTTGGCCACTTGTTTCGAGTGAGCCACAATGCCGGATTTTAGAATAGTGCTGTTAGATGGTAGAGATGATTTAGCAGGTTGTGACCCAGTGATAGTGGTAATCTCATTGAGTTTGCCTAACACTTCTTTTTGAGAGTTAATAATAACCTCATTGTCTTTATTAATCAGTTTATCGATTTTGTTAGATATCTCACAAATGGAATTGTCAACCGAATGTCCCATAAAAATGTTGATGACACGTTCCACACATCTAGTGATGAAATCGGCATGCTTTTTGGTTCCTATTTTGGCACATTCATTATCGGCGATATAGCCTATAAGTTCATGAAGAACATCAAATGCAGCGTCATGTGAGCTTAAAATACCAGGAGCTTCGTGCCCCGACATTATAAGAGTGAAAAATAAGAAGAAAAGTGAAGAACGCTTATTGGTTAAACAATACGCCGAAGGGCTGACTCGTACCCCGAACGGTTACGAGGAACGCCGAAAAAATACGATATACCCTAATCAGCTACAGCAAACGCCGAGGGGTTGCAGCTTCCGCCGAAAAATGCAGCGGCACAACCGAAAATACTACCCGCCGGTCGGCTGTAAACACGCCGATCGGCTAGCACATCACGAGGTGGGAGAACAAAGGCTTTTGTGTGAAACAAAAATTCGCACGTCGATGGCGGCGTTAATATAGTAACTCGAATAAAAAGTAACAAACCACAAAAAACGGGACGTGAGGCGCTACCATCCACAATGACTGTGCCCCTAAAAAAATAATTAAAAAAAAAAAAGAAAAAAAAGCCCGTTAAGTCTGTAGATGGTCCCGAAATATAGGACACAACCGAAGCATTACCAAGAGGACCTGTGGACGAAAATTAATAAATAATATAGTGAAGTAACTGGAAAAATGTCCCGAATTAAACAAGACAACCGGCGAAAACGGAAACCACTTGGATCCCTAGTTACGATCAAACAAAGTTGACCACGTGGCTTCAACCAAAAAAACCGATAACCCGCAAAAATAGGTCGGTTTGAAAAAAACATCAACGGCGTTTAACAGCGCACGTTGTAAGTAATAAACGATGTAAAAAACGCTTACCCGTGACAATTTTTTATCGAAATATCTTAAGACTAAAACGGAGCACAAAAACCAAAGTGGCTGACTCATCCGTAGTAAAAGTAAGCAAACTTCTTACAGGAGTAAAAACATTAAAAATACAGGAGACCCACCTATAACGCGGGTTCATATAATGCGGATTCGTATATCGCGGCGAAAAAATTGCGACTGTATTCGTATAAAGACGCTAAAAAACTCATAAAATGCGGTAAAACGTCATCGCCGACTCGTGTCGCGACAGGATTGCTCGAATCTGGACCAATAGTGGACGAGCAGTTGAACTACTTTCACGCTACAGAAAGTTTAGGCGGGTAAGTTGAGTTTACTATCGTCTGTACAGTATATAGGCCTAAATTAGGTACTGTAAGTCTAATACAGTACTGTAATTTTATACATTTCTTGTGAAAAAAAATCATTTCTTATTCAATGGTCATAAAAATTATTTTTATTAAGGATGTCTCCAAACTTCAGCGAATTTTTCACAGAAAAATAACTTATTAGAAAACGCGCCCGGCGTTTGGTGCGCCGCTCCGCGACAAAAACAAGCTTAAGCAATTGCGTGGTCTAACGGTGAACACTCGGTAAGTAATCCTACAATTTTTTGTTTATAGCATGGTTTATACGGATTATTCTCAAAAAATTATACGTGTTTTGGAAATGTTGATTGAAATTAGTCTAGAATCGATTAATTTTATGGAAAACACTTTTCAAACAGCCGTAGTACGTAAACTGCACACGTGTCAGGCTGTGATTGGCTCATGTATTTAAGGATTCCTACAACGCGAAATTCGCATAAAGTGGAACGTATCTACCGCATTATAGGGGGTTGACTATATTACAATTTGTCTTAACAGAATTTGGCGTTTATGCAAAAACCTGTAATAAAATTATTTTACGTTATCGAATGTTAGCCAGTTTTGAATAAGCGTATAAAATTGAATTGTAGTACAATCTTTAATTACATCTCTAATTTAAATATACATTTGGTTTTAGAAAGAAAGCAAATTAAATACAAAATTAGATGTGTTTTTCGAAATTTGTTTTAATATATCATTTTGAGGAATTGTTCTTCTTATCTTAATATAGCGTTGATTCATAGTTTTACAATCTGTATAAATGTATATACAGTCTTTCTTTCTATATCTATATATACATCTTGGAGGCCGAGCGATGAAGGTGGCAGCTAACGCTCTGCGGGATTTGGGTTCGTATTCGAACGGGTCAAAAAGTTCCCAGGAAATTTTCGGGGGTGGTTGGTATAACGATATCAATCACATGGAATTGTCATTTTGTTGGATGCAGTTTGGAAAAGACACCCCTGTTCAGCTGCTGAAAACTTTTTTAAAGCAGTGGCCCTCTATGAAGTCATGGGAATTTCTTATTTAATTAATAATTATTATTGAAAGAGTATTATGAATTGTCATATGCTAAGTATTGCTATTACGTTTATAAAATAAACTCAAAAGAGTTTAACTGCAAAATACCAAAAAAAAGTTGATGATGATTTATAACTTAGACAAATGTATACTGTTAGAAAATTTAATCAATTAGATTGAGAACTTTACGAAATATTATTCTCGTATTTTTTTTTATTTAATTACGATATAATTTTCTCAAAATATTTATTCTATATAAAACTTTTATTTGTAGGCAATTAGGCTAAGTCCTTCGTCTCTGGAAAGATCGAATGTGGGACAAATGGTAAATCTTCTAGCAAACGACGTCAGCAAGTTTCTAAATGTAAGTTAAAGACAATTTTCTAAATAACATGTTTGATAAATGTATACCACGTGAACACGTATATTTCGCCGGTGTATTATATAAACTCGACAAAAACATTTCGGACAAAAAGTTATTTTAAAAGTCGTTTTAATATATTTTCAGTAATATCGATGAGAAAAAATTTTTAAGCTTATGATCTATACTAATATAATAAAGAGGTAATGTTTGTATGTATGTTAGTTTGTATGCAGCAGGTAATCTCCAAAACTACTCATCCGATTTCAAAAATGTTTTCACCAATATTTAGAATGAAACTTCAGGATGGACACAGGCTGTATATTATTCCGTTAAACATGGGAGATGGACAGTTTTTTACGGTAAGCCTTACGGGGAAGGCTTACCGTAAAAAACTCTGCTTCTATTTATACTATTTTAGATGCGGTTTTTTGCATTTTTGATTGCGTTTTAATAGAGTACGTCAACAGAATGTACATAAAGAAGGGATTTTTCGATATTCCCCCTTGGGGAAAAGGACAGGATTAAGGCTTACTGTGAAGAACTTCACTTCTATTATACTATTTTAGATGCGGGTTTTTGCGCTTTTGATTGCGTTTTAATAGGGTACGTCAAGAGAATGTACACTAAGAAAAAATTTTTCGAAAAATTTTCCCTCACGGGGGAAGTGTTATACATTTATAATAGATACATTTTGAGCCACAACAAGGCGTGGCGGGGTCTGCTAGTTAGTTTAAGCTGAACTTTGATTATAAGTAAGTATTTTTACAAATGACTTCATACAATCGTTCGTTATGTCAACAAAAGACTGTCGTTCGTTTCGAGTGATTTTACCCCAAAATTTCTTGACTTTTTGATTAAACCATCCAGATTTTCTTGAGGACTTTTCATTAACACGTTTTTAATTTTACATCACATATTCTTTATAGGGAAAAGTCAGATCTGCTAATATTAAAACATTAAAATGCCCATGTTTAATGTTTCATATTACGTTGGGCCAGCCAAGTGTCGACGGTTTTAGAAGTGTGGCAACTGCACTATTCTGCTAAAAACTAATAGTCCGCGATATAGTAAATTTTTAATGATGGTAGCAGGTTTTCGTCAAGAATTTGTAAGTATTTCGCTGCATTTATTGATTCCCTTTGTTAGTTAAAAGGAAAATTTCTCACATCTTCGCTGACACGCAACCCCACAGTATACTGCTTGCTGCGACTTTTATACTGCGCAATACACAGTCATAATTGAATGCCTCTTTTCTTATTCTGATGACTTTAATTTTTATAATTGCTTTTAATGCAGACTCGAAACTTCGCGTGATCATTATAAATAACCTGCTTTCACTGTTGTTGTATCCGGCATTTCTGCTTTTCGGCACTCTTAAATCTCTCTTTTATTTGTGTTTTTGTGAGAAGAGGATTTCGCCTTTATCTACGTAAACAAATTACACGTGACTATTGTTATTAAAAATTAGTATCAATTTCTTACTTGATTTAAGCTGTAGCCAAGTTTCTACTGTTTGATACCAGTTCTCTTTGTTACTTTTTTTCTAGTAATTTTATTCTATTCGTTCACTAACTCGGCGAATAATGCACCTCGATTTTTAAAAATAATGTTACGAAGGTCAGTCTGATCTGTTTTTATCATAGTTATTGGCCATCCAGTTGATTTTTTACATAAATTTTACTAGTTTTTTGATATTTTGAAACAATTCTCTACACTGTGTACTTAGGAATTTTTAATCGTTTCACAATTTATTGAAATGATTGGCCCATTTCTATTAAAAGTAAAAATCAGTTCGTTTACATGAACACAGCTTTTCCTTCTAAATACGTAAAAATAACTACGGTAGGGCCTTAGGCCGAGACTTCACTAGCGTAAAAAAACCCTCGCCTTAAAAGCTTTTAATCACGTGAGCGTTCTCGCTTGGATTTCGGTGGAGGTTCGGCTAGCGAAGTTTTTACGGCAACAGTGCTGCCCCACGTGTCGAAAGTAAATATTACTTTGCACGTGAATTGGTGGAAACTTAAGCATCGCAGCTTGATTGTTCATAATTGTCATAGGTCATCAAATGTTTTAATTGGATCAGATGCAAGCTGATATGATGTTTCAGCTTTTTGCTGAACAATTTTCATTGCTTTCTGCACTCCTGAAGCTAAAGCGACAGAAGCATCGTTTTTGGGTGAGACCTTTTGTTTCGGAATAGAAGTTCCTTAGGTTATCATAATACTGTACACTTATGCGTGAACTTCGTTCTCGAGACCAGGAATATTATTATGAGTTACTAATAAATCAAGATTATCCCAAAATCTCTTCATGCATAAAAGTTTTTATTAGCAGTAACGTGAATTTTGTTGACAGTTTCTTACGAATGACAACTGATCTCTTTGAAGTGTTATTATAACGAGTAGGAAATCATATAATTGAGCAAAATACACGTTTTAGAGAAGCAGTTTCGGCAAGAGAACGCTGGGAAATAAATTTAAGGTACTAATACGTGCTTTACATCGATGTTCTGGATTAGGAACTAATGTATATGATTAGGAACTAATGACTGACTAGCTTAATTTGTTTTAATTGGTTTAAACGTTCATGTTATCATGTATTTTTCGAAATTTTTAGCATCAATGGAAACATACAGAAGCTTGTCATTTGCCTTTAGAGTTGGACGAAAAATAACAGCAAAAATTGATCCAGAAACTTGCCATGCTTTTTGGAATGAGTTAAAAAAAGATTGCATTCAATTTCCACCAAATGAATGAAAAGCTATTGCAGAAAATGTTTTAAAAGTTTGGCAATTGCCACACCGGTGCGGGAACATCGATGTAAAGCACGTATTGATGATTTGTCTTCAGAATAGCGGAAGTTTAGGAAGTTACAAAGGAATGTTTAGTAATGTGTTGCTATCAGTGGCAGATACCAATTATAAATTTTTATAAATGCCATATAGTATATAGACTATGGACACTGTGGAAGTGAGAGCGATTGAGGAATATTTAAAAAAGTACAGTTTGGCCAAATGATGGAAACCTTCAGATTAAACTTGGCTAATGATGATTATTTTCCAAATTCCGAAATTATGTTGCCTTTTTATTTCATTGGTGATAAAGCTTTCCCACTATCAAGAAATTTAATGCGACCATATCCTAGACGTTCTGCTATTAGCCGATCACAACGAGTCTATAACGATAGACTATGTCGTGCTCGTCGAGTAATGGGAAAAGCTTTTGGCAGTTAAGTTCTCGTTTTCGCATCTTCAAACGACCATTAACGTACGGTGAAAATTACACGATAAAGATTTCATTGGCAGCTTGCATCTTACACGGTTTTCTTATAAGAGAGTCGGCTTGTTACGTTAATGCTAGAAAGTGTGATTCAAAAGATGAACATGGCAATTTTATCCCAGGAAGGTGGAGTGCAACAGCTGATCATATGAGAAGTTGCACACAGATAGCAAGTAACATGTACAGTACTCTACTGAAGCAAGAGAACTAAAGAATAAATTAGCAGACTAATTATATATTACTGGTCTTGCCATAGGCAATAGACTATAATTTTTTTTACTACTCTTGTATTTTAAAGACATTGTAACAAATGTAAGTTTTCAAAATAATTTAATAAATTACGCTGATCTATTGAATTTATTACTTTACCGATTTTCTTCATCGATTGCAGCGTGAATCTCGAAAAGAATCTCTTGAATTTTTCATAGCTATTCGTTGAGTTTGCTGCTCATTTTTGTCAGCATACTTTTATCAAATTCAAAAATTCTCACGCTGAATTAATGATATAATTCCGATTCTCACATCATCCTTTCAGTATGCTCTTGTTACATAAGGCTCAGTAGAAAAAAGCCGTCAAGTAAGCGAGCGAGCGGGTTATAACAAAGTCAAAATTACTGTGAGAATGCGAGAGTGTAGACAGATTTTATTTAATTAATTAAATATCTGTTCGTTTAATCAATTTTCTCAAGTAATATTTTAACATTAAAACTGACACATTTGTCACTTTTAATGTGAAATTTAAGAATTGAGTTTCCCTTCATAACGCTTATATCTAATTTTGACGAACATCTGGACGTCTTACTCATTAGTACATCCCGTCAGCTGATACAAACCCTAAATTTCTATTGGAGGGAACTTACGATAAAAAGGGCGATTTCCCACAATTCGAGGCAATCAACATTAACAAGAACCTGACATAACAGACAGCAGTCTCCTATAGTAAGAAACGATTTATGAAATTACCGTTTATCTGTGATTAGAATTTATTAATAATAATTTATGACTTTCATAAAATATTATTAATAAACATTACTATACTGGAATTAGAACACCTTCTGTCTGTCCCAATTCACATTATATTGAAAAACTACAGATACACGCCTCACCCGAACAAAATCTAAGTATCGTCGTCATCCTGTTTTCTTCCAAGCTGAATTTCAAATTTCATCACTTTTTCGGAAATATCGATTTTTATCGATATTTTTCACTTTAGGTAAAAACACTACGTTTCGAGAAATGCCTGTTGCGACGCTCTGCGCATTATGTATATTATTTTTATTTTTTTGACAAAAGTTTATATTTTAAAAAAATAAAATATTGAACCTATTTAAATTATGAGACGATATTAAATAATTTTCGAACTCTGGATTACAGGTGAAAAAAGTACAGCTCTGTCTTGAAAACTGGTACTGTTTGAACAGGTCTATGTGCGAAACTATTCTCATTAAACGGTTTATCGGAATTGCTTAGTTTGTTGGACTAGACGGTTTTATGGTATCAGAATATTCTGTCGGAATTGCTGTTGAACTTGACGGTTTCTGATCGGTATTATAAACATAAAATGTACAGAAATGTTTGCTGTATTCATAACAAAAGTAACTTTGAGTTTCTCGATAATACAAAAAACAACGAGTAATCCGCCATTTTCAATAATCTGCGACACTCTCATACTGTAGCTACCAGAATAATAATCTAATGTAAAAACAAAAGTAGCTCGTATATATTTAATATGTTTATGACATTCAATACTTTATGATGTCCGTAATAATTATTCATAAATTTATATTCATTTTAATCGAGGTAATAGTTATTTATCGGTATCGCTTTCATTTATTACAGAAAATTATCTGCCTTCCAGTTTTATTTACATCGCCTTTCTTCGTCATTACTTCGATAGCCATGTTGTGGAAATATTACGGATGGACTATTCTAATTGGATACTTGGTCATATTTCTCTATTTTCCTATACAGATTGCTTTGAGTAAACTATATTCAAAATTGAGGTAACTATTATTTTAAATTATATAGTTGTAAATTATCTGTAAATAAAATAAATGAATCATTCATTATTTAGTAATCATTAATTAAGGTGGAATTGATGTATTTAACATATATAAAATTTCATGTACTTACTCGAAATCTATGCTACATTAGCTGACATTAGAAATGGTAAGATGACCAATGTGTTAGCAGAATGATCTGTGATGCCAGGGCTCGAGTTTATCGAGCAGACCAAAGAAATTTTAGGATGTATGATACACAAATCTTAGATGAGGACCAACATATGTAGACATGCCTTCATGGGCCTGACATAATCCATTATGATTATATTATGATTAAAACGCTCCACATATTAATCAGAGAATAAAAAATCAAACATTAATTAAAACAGTTGTTTGCATAAGCGAAAAACTATATATAGAAACATGCTTTTTATTTCGGAGCGTGTGTAATTTGTGTGAAATTTTACATAAAGTATGTTTGGAAAATAAATATTATACGCACGTGAATCATGGCGGATGTCCATTTGGTGCAATAATATATTAAAGAACGTTCGTGTAGGATTTCTATTCTTTCTAAACGTGATATAATCAGACACCGTTTCATTATCAGCAGGGGAGGATCTAGGCTTGTCAATGCCTAGCGCTTATCGAAGTCCAATGGGGTCTCATTTTTGTTAGATTAAGAATCTTTAAATTGGGGTTTAAAAAATCATTTTTAAGAACATTAAAATCAGAGTTGAAATCTATTTACGAAATTGTGTTGAATGACAAACTTTATATCTTGTATAAAAAAACATAAGAAATAAAAAAAGTATATACATTGATTAATTACTGACCAATTACGTTACGTAAATAACAATAAAACAAATAATACAAAATATTAATAATCTATATATATAATCGTGATGGGTTGATAATAATAATAATAATACAACACATCACTTCTGGGTGCAAGCTCTTGGCACAGACAGATTATTTACACATACATAATCAAGTAGCAAATATAATACACCAAGAGCTTGCAAAGAAACACAAACTGGTAGACATTCACGAACCATACTACAAATACATTCCACAGACAGTATTGGAAAACAACACGCACAAAATGTACTACGACAGAGCCATAATCACAGATAAAACAATTTATCACAACAGACCAGACATCACACTCATTGACAAACACAATAAAATCACATACATTATAGACATAGCCATTCCAAACACTCACAATGTACAAAACACATGCACTGAAAAAATTAGCAAGTACACAGAACTCGCCCAGGAAATAAGGCATCTGTGGAGGATGGATAGGGTGCTTATTGTACCTGTTGTTCTCTCCTGTACAGGTGTGATACCACACACACTACACAAAAGCCTGGGAACATTACAATTGAGTAGAAATACATACATCACACTACAGAAGGCCACTATATTGAATACATGCCACATTGTTAGGAAATTCCTGAATACAGACACACATACTGACACACTTATTTAATTTTAGTTTTGTTTTGGTTGCTATGCCTTGACTTTGGTCCAGCATAGTACACAGCCACCGGTGTTAAGTAACCGAGTACAACTCACAAAACCCAACATAATAATAATAATAATTTATAACTTTCTTGGTCACCACCTGAAAAAACACTAAATTATGTAAACACTCACTTACTACCAAACTACATTTATTCACTCTCAGACATTCATACATTAGTTTATGCTGGGGCAGTCACAGTAGTAACACATTATGGTCTGAAAATACAATCACAGACAGATACACACAAAACACAATACTATCACAAGCCTGTCTTGCAGAGAAGAATAGAAACAAAAAAACAATGACATTAGACAGCAATTAGGCAAGCTGACACAATACACTAAAAACAACATAACATCAAAATTAAGCAAACAACTCAAAAACATTTTCAAGAAAATCAAAACACACGCAAAACATAAACATCACAACACACACATTAGAGAATACATCGATAGACTAAAACAAAACTCGAGGCCAAAGCACCTAGACTCAAACCATACAAAACATGTACACTACGAAAACAACAACATAAATTATTCACATACAACGAAAAACTTTTCTACAGACAAATCAGTACCAAAACAAACACTGATACACAGCACAGTGGCACATCAACAGAAAAAGAACTCACAACTTATTGGCCTTTTCTTTGGTCCAATGCTGTTACACACAATGTTGCTGCAGGCTGGATCGAGGAGGAGAACGGAAACTTGCACCAAATACCAACTATGCCCTGTGCTGAAATAAATGTGCTGAAAACAAGAACAAAGCATAAACAACATCACCCTAAATCTGCCACAGAAAGATTAACTCTTCTACTTAAAGATAAACTTTTCTACTTAAAGATACTCTTCTACTTAAAGTGATTGACATACTTAACCTTCACTACATACAAACACAATCACTGCGAGAGTTTGTCTACAAAAGACAAGAAACATCACAGTTACATAAAGCAGTAATTGTAACAAACACAATAAAATCACATACATTATAGACATATCCATTCCAAACACTCACAATATACAAAACACATTTACTCAAATAATTAGCAAGTATACAGAAGTTACCCAGGAAACAGGCATCTGTTGAAGACGGATATGGATAGGGTGCTTATTGTACATGTTGTTCTCTCCTTTATGGGTGTAATATCACATACACTGCATAAAAGTCTGGGAACATTACATTTGAATAGAATTACAGCACACTACAGAAGGCAATTATATCGAATACGTGAAATATTGTTAAGAAATTCTTAAATACAGACAGTGATACACGTATTTAATTTAATTGTATTTTGGTTTCTATTCCTTCATTCTGGTCCGGGATAGTACAAAGCACGTCAACCGAGCATAACCCACAAAACTGAACGTAATAATAATAAGCTCAGATCTCAAACGGTTAGGAGTTGAAAGTTGAAATTTGGTATACAGTATACGTCACCAGAATGTACAATAAGAAGGAATTTTTCGAAATTATTCCGTGGGGGAGAGAAAGAGGAGTAAAACTGATTTTAAAAAATTCAGCTACCATTGTGCTATTTTAGATGCAATTTTTTATTTTAACTGCGTTTTAGTAGGGTACGCCATGCATCTTAATAAAAGTTTTTTGGAAATTCTTGCACAGAAGAGAGGTAGAGTGTTAAGGATTATCTGGAATAACTCGGCTTCATGCTATTTTAGATGCTGTTTTTTGCGTTTTTGATTGCAATTTAGTAGGGTATGCCATGAAATGCACGTTAATAAGAGATTTTTGAAAATTTAACTATTCGAGGAAAAAGAAGGAGAAAGTTAGTTTTACTCAGTATAAACTGTAAATAATAGAAAAGAAAAGTAAATAGTGGTACATATAGTATACGTTTTGAAAATTAATAAATCTTTTAAGCATTTACACTTTTCGTATAACTCATAAACAATGAATATAAAATAAACGAATTCGAACGAATTCTTTCGTTCCGAATTCGAAAAATTCGAAACATAATATTTCAAACAAGTATTTTTATATTTTAGAATGTAAAAATAATCATTTTATTTTAGGTAAGGTTATTATCAAGTAAGTTCATTCTCCATTGTAATGAGAATTATCTTACTGCCTGAGTAAAGCTGGGCTCATCTGCTTGGTTTTTTATAGTTTTTAAAAACTTTTTTCTCAAATTTTTAATTGAGTTTTTTTTTTCAATATATTTGCGATTGGGTTATTTATTTTTTCGACATTCGTTTATTTAGTTACAATTTGTTTGTTTTCGTAGTGCGTTTAATTCATTTAAATTCATAGCACGTTCCAAGATTCGTATAAAATTTCTTATTCAAGATTAGAAAAGGTTCGTTTCGAGAATATTCCATTTACAATGGTTAACGTGTATTTTATATCAGAAGATTTGTGCAGCGGGTCGTAAGTGTTGGTGAACTATTGAACGTTTTCTCAGCAAATAACTTGTTGAAAAATTTCATTTGTCATTTGCTTTTATTTCGTTTCTTCCATTTTAATAAGTAACTGGTTCAAATACCCGTTATTTTCTAGAAATTATCAAATTCACAAACTGTATAATTACTTGCAAATCAATAAGTATATTGTACCCGGATTATTTATTTATTTATTATTTAATTTTAAAAATTAACCTATTATATGTTCAATTATTGTAATACCTGTGTTCTCTTCGTTAACCAATCTTAATTACACACCCCATGCTGTCATTTTTCATTCGTTTTCTTTCCACATCATTCACCATTTTTCCTAAGCAAAACAAACTTATAAACTCTATTAGTGGAGAACTTATTCTACGATTCATGTGAATTTACTCTGTCATTCTCGTTTATTAATAACAAAAATTTTTCATTTCCCAGTATTCGTATAACTTTCTGTTCATCGTACTTCCCTGTAATTGAACTATACTAAATGTATTAAAATTAATCTGACAACCGTTCTTCCAACAATGCTTAGACACATTCGAATTTTTGTAATCATGCTTTATTGATTTAACACAATTGATTGGTGTAACTTTCCTCTTGTATATCGGATGTAAGTGGATAGGTTTACACATTTACAAGTAAATCTGTATGTAACACTTGTCTTTTTTCATATATTATTAATTTTATTTTCCGTGTTTTGATGGTTTCGGTTTATAATCTGCTTCTGGTTCTGGATCAACACTATATTGTATTAATGACATATTTTTTTAATTTGTTCAAAACTCTTTACTTTAAGCATGAAGTAAATAAATTCTTAAGATTATATAAACATTTACAGTATACTGCTTTAACCTGCATGAAATTAAAACACGTGAAATAACTTTAATATGTAAAATATTTTCCCCTCCAAAAAATAAGCACAAAATTGAAAATTGGACACAAATCAGAAGTTACTGCAGCAATTTATTTTTAATTTTACAGAAACATAGAATAAGACTCTGCCAACGGCGTCGGCACACTATCAGAGATGGGAAGACAAACTATAAAAAGGGCATCGTACGTTATGCAAAGAGCTTCAATATCTATGATACAAGTTGTTGCTGGTTGCACTAGGGGTTAGCTTCGCCTTGAAAACATGACATGTAGTATTGAAAACAAATAGCGTTCATTGGTTTCTTTTTTATTTGTAAAATAGGCTTGCCAAAAGTCATGAATATATTCTATTTGTTGATAATGAAAATTTATTGCTTTTTTGGGATTTGGAAAAGGCCAACTCAACGAAAAAGGGGCATGTGCTCAGAGCAGACACTGCCATATAGCGAACGGAGTAGCCGCTCCAGGCGCTAAGTCCTAGGGGGGCGCCTCAGGGATAAAGAAAATTAAAGGGTATAAATTAAGGGAAACCAAGGAGCCGCCATGATAGGATCTCGCTCCATCCTAAAACTTGCGTTGGGCCGGCACTGCATGTGCTCCATATGCCCGAACGTAGAGGCGGCCGTGGACTCTGCCAATTATTAGCACAAACAAAAAAGGTCTCGAATGTAGAGTATGACATTCTACAAAATTAAAAAAAATGGTTAAAATGTCAGGTTACATTTGCAAACGAGAAATGTTTGTTAATAAAGAATATGATCACCTCTTACTTCAATTCAGACAGCACAACGATGATCTCCGCCAGCTGTCAGATGATGAATGAAGTCAGAAGGCAAAAAATTCTCACTGTTGTATGAGAGCACGTTGGAGCTCTTCAGACCTGTTTGGAAAAGTTTGGCGGAAAGGCACTGCTCTTTTGAGACATCTTATATAATACATGATGTATAAGATAAGAAACTGGAAAATACGCTGGTCACTGCATTGGGTGAATTCTCTCTGTTATTAGGTAGTTTTGTATGGCCAGACATTGTTGTCTATAAGAACGAATTCAGAATCAATTGCATTCATATGAGGTCGAACAAAGGGGTATAGGATTTCATTCCGATAACTTTGGCCCATCACAGTTCTACAGCGGGAAACGTAGAGATCAATACATCTATCTAAGGAAATCGCATTTCATATAAGGACGCAAACGACAACAAAAAATGACAATAAACAATGTTCATCGATTGATTCCGTGAATTAGTCGGATTTCCCACGAAAGTTTGTTGATAACTGTAATGCAAATGATGACTCATTGTTCAACAGAAAATTTTCTAATCGATTATACTCGAAGTGAATGGTTCCTGAAGCAAGTGTAAACGGCTCTTCTCTGCCTGAAAAACAATGAAACAGAAATAATTTGGCTTCGCGCATAAAAATCATGTGCATGCACTCTCTCATTACAGTTGTCACAGTTTTAAGTATCCCTGTAGATTGCAACCAGGCTTGCACGTGCAGGTGTGTTGCCTTCCTGTTGCAATACTAAGTAGCAGTCATCGGAAGATGTTCTAACTCGAGAGCGACTAAAGCCGGCCTTCTGCTTACTATTCCAGTAACTTGGAATAAGGTGCACGGATGAAATTACAGAATGCCGGACTGAAAAATGGAGCACCGTTTTTAATAGCTTGGCCGGATTCTTGCCTACCCGAGGCTTGCCAGCCATCTTTGATTATCATCGAAATGACTTCTTTGAGACATAGCGAAGACATTGATTATTTTGGAATTTTACTGTCATGTTCGTAATTGAATTACGCAAACACAGTATAAAACATCTGTATCTACGTATAATTTGATTTGTATATTTCGAACAGAATCAATATATACTGTACTCATGCTTCGATGTTTGCTTATCACACCGAAATTATACAAGAAATTTTATCGAATAAAACTTACACATCCGCTTTTTATCTGAGAATTTACATAACGTGTTTGTTTTTTTCAGGGAAGTTTAGTATAAAAAGTTGTTGAAATTGCATAAACAAAATTCTTATAATATTCATTGTTAGAAAAATAAAGGGCTTCGCTTAAATGTAATACAGTAGAGTCTCGAAAACTCGGCCTAATGTGGACCGAAGGGTGGCCGAGTTTGTGAAAATGCCGGGTTATCGGGAATGGGGTTAATAAAGGATAAGTATGCGTGTTTCCTCAGAAAATATTGTACTGTACTTGTATGTATTGTTTGCTTGAGAATACAACAGAGAATAAACTGCCCAAATACCCTTAAACAAAGGAAAAGTACGTCCTTTATGAAGGCATAGAGCCTTTACTACATGAAAATGAAAATTAATGAATACACTGTGTACAGTAATTTACCTGATAAGACAGACCTCAGAAAAATACTTTATGAGAGCTTTTATACTTTTATAAAGCTGTCTATAATGAAAATTAATTAACTAAGGATTTTTTGCCCTGCCAGGGTGTGGCCGAGTTATCCGGAGTGCTGGGTTATCGAGTGCCGAGTTTTCGAGGCTCTACTGTATTGTCTTTAGTTATAAAATATATGTCCAGTATTTAATTTTATATCATTTTATTAGAGTATATATATATATCATTTCATAATAGATTACAAGCAGCTGTATTGGGAGACGAAAGATTGAATCTGTTGAACGAAATGATTGCTGGTATGAGGTTAATCAAGATGTACACCTGGGAATTGCCATACGCCGCATTAATAGAAAAAATTAGAATGTAAGCGCAATGAACTATATTAAAATCTGTATAAAACGGAAAACAGAAATGAAACGAATAATTGCCTAATGAGAAAAAACTTTTACAGAAGCGTGTTTCTGTTTTAAAAAATAATCCCTGTTCAGAGCATTAACATCCCAAAATATTTGACACAATCTGATTCCGGCTTACACAGGTTTCATTGTAATTTACACACGCTAATGTGCTGAGCTTTAAATAATTACATTTTAAGTTCTACAATTAATATTTTTAATTGTTTCTATTTGCAGGAAAGAAATGAAAAAAATTCGAATGTTTTTATATGCAAGCGGAATATCGTATATATTGGCGTATCCTATATCGAAATTATTCATTCTCCTCGCATATCTCGCATTCTTTTTAAACGGAGGACAGCTAAATGCCGAAATTATATTCGTTACAATGACTTTCTCAATGTACATCGCCTTTCAGATTGTATCTTTTTTTTCTCAAGCATTGAGTTTTGTTACAGAAATTTTGGTTTCGTTAAAAAGGATAAAGGTAAGGAACAATTTTAAAATTATTGTTTTCATATTTTATTACAGCAATACTACTTTAGAAATAGTTCGAAGATATTTACATATAATTAATAATAGTGTTGTATATAAATATATTAAATATTAAAACTTGCCCATAATGAAATGTGAATATATTGAAAACCTGCCTAGAGGAGAGAAGTTGCTGAATAGACAATATTCTGTGTTAAATTTAACACAGAATATTGTCTATTCAGCAACTTTCGAACAACTTTCTTTTCAACCCAAAACTGTAAGTTATCAATAAATCCTGATATGAAATCGTTTTTATTTACTAATGTTACCATGTATCATGCAAATCTGTATTCTGTGAAAGAGTTTGAATCATTTAAGAATAACGAATGTCACATGATGATGGACATAAGATGATCCTTAATATTCCCCAGAAAGATAGGTTGACATTATCACTACTCTTCGGCAGTTTCAAGAGTGAAAAATTAGTTTGTTTGGTTCTTTGGTTTCTTCGCTGTTATAATAACTCATTTGGCTAATGTCGGAGAACTCGTAATATACAATTATTCAACACAAGTTTTACCAACATCAGGCAACAGGTTCTATCTTGAAAAAATTTAAAAATCCATTTAAATATTTAATGTCACACTTAATCAATAGATTAAGTGTTACATTAATCATCGATAAACGATCAATTTATCGATCAATCAATCGATAAACACTTAATCAATACATTAAGTGTTTATCGATAAATCGGATAAATGAAATATTTCTGGAGTTTTTCAATCTCTCGTAGTCGATTTTGGAGGAGTCGAAAACCGAAATTAATTGTTTTGTTCATATTGATCTTGTGTACAAACTTTTATTTAAAACGCTTATATTTTTGATATTTTAATTTAGGATTTTCTCCTCCTTCAAGAAAAAGAGAACAATGCAGGCAAAACTGTAGGAGAAAGAGAAAATTCAACCGAATACGAAATACGAATGGATAGTGTCACAGCTGCATGGAAAAACGTAAGACGTGGCTTCAAATTTAATATAAGTTCTGCAATAAAAATAATGTTTTTTAACGATTTGTTTAACATGATAATTTTAAAATCGATTAATTAACAATAATAACAACAATAATGTATTTAATTAGTTATATTATGCTTGTGTCTATTTCTGAAATTCTGGTGAATTAAGTCTCTCTCAGTACACATGAATGTGCAAAGAAAACATAAGCATAATATGAATTAACAGTATTTCACGTAGAATGTTATGATCGTCTCTGGCTTTATAAAATTTATATATGTTAAAGTAATGAAATAGTTAGCAACATTTGTTAAGATTTGATCCGAAAAAATAGATATTTTGGCTTACGAGTGGATAAATGGATAACACTATAAATAAAACAATGGTTGTTGGTATCGGGTTCACACTCGACCGATGAGTTGAATGCGAGGAGTTTTTTCGGGTTTTCATCACGAGTTTGATTTCTAAATTGGAAAAGCTTTTCCTGTCGAAAATAATTCCAGATATAATTCTGATATAAGCTAAGTCAGGTGAAGAAATTCCTGGCCTTTCATTGTAGAGGCATGAAAGTGAGACATTGCTTCTCGGAAGTCTTCTCCACTTTCTGATAGATGCTTTCTATAAGACTTTTATGGCATTGTGAATGTACCCAATGATCATTGTCCTTGGTTCTTTTGGAAGTTATTATTTATTTAGCTTTCTGTCTTTGTGGAGACTCCCATGAATTTCTTTGTCTTGAAGTTCTGAGCACTTCGCATTTCCTGTATTGACAGAAAGTGTGTTCCCTGTGATATTCTGGATTGCCTGAGACATTATCATAAATTAATTTATTGTGTATTATTAATATTTCTGATTTATAACTTTTAACTTTAGTTGTAATAATTGTAATAACTTTGTTTTTTTTTAAAAAAAGGAATTCGAACCAACATTAAATGAGATATCACTAAACATGCAGCCGAGAGAATTATTAATAGTAATAGGTCCTGTTGGATCAGGGAAGGTAAATATCTTGTTTTAAATTTTAAATTAAAATTATACGCTTTATGATTTTAAGATTAATTAAAAAATTAATAAAATAAAGTAAATAAACGGTTACATTTTTTTATTTATAATAAAATAAATTCTCAAAATTTTATAATTTTATCTGTTTGTGATTTTATTTGGATTTTATTTTAATTCTTGAAAACACTATATACATTCTGTGTACTTATCGGACAAAACGGTGGGTGTTATTTTTGTCTCGTAAGAAGAAAGATAAACTGTTGGACAAGTATTTGTATTATGTAACTCGTGTGCTTAATTCCTTATAAAATCTTCTATTACGTTTGTTGTTTACATAAAACAAACTGACTAAAAACAAGTGAAAATGATCGAATAACTGAAGGAGGGAGTGTATAATTACGTGTTTAAGTTTTTGTTCATCTAACGTATTCAATTTAGACATGACTATTTTATCTAAAACTAGCTTACTCGTCGCGCATTGCTGCGATCTCAGAAGAAACCACATTCAAGCAAACTCATTATGATAAAACTCAATTTACATTTTATCATTTTTATTGAAACTTATTATTATTATTCATTTTCATCGGGAAAACATTTCAAAGTGTCGTTTCAATTCTATTTATTTATTGAAGTG